GTGGAGTCAGTGCTGGCATGCAGTGGTGGAGTACAGTGGTGGAGTCAGGGCTGGCATGCAGTGGTGGAGTGCAGTGGTAATGCACTTGCCTGAGGGGTTGAGGCTCTGAGTTCTATCTTCAGTACTCTAAACAAGGAGAGAGGGGGAGCTGGGGAGATGGCTCAATCTTGAAGTCAAGCACTTGCCTTGCAAGCATGAGCACTTGAGTTTGATCTCCAGAAACCCAATGTGGTGGCATAGGTTTTTCATCCAGTGCTGGGGAGGTAGACACAGGCAGATCCCTGGGACTAAAAGTAAGAACTCTTGTTTTAGAAAACTAAAGTGGACATGACTGAGGAAGACATTCAAAGCTAACATTTGGCTTACATACATACCCCCCAACACACACACACACACACACACACACACACACACACACACACACACACACACACACTTCACATGTGCTAGGAACAAAGCCCATCTCTCCCTCTTCATCATGGCTGATTTTTGGTGTGAGGCACTGCACCACTGTAGTCCACTTACAATAGTTTATAGTTGCAAAAAGGTACCAATGTATTGCAGGATCACTCTGCAGAGCCAAAGTGTGTCTAGGGACCTAGGGAAAATAGTTCCCTGGCTGTGGTGTAAACTTATATCTTTGTGTTATTTAAGAGCCTCCAGAAAGCAAACACCAAGACCGAATTGGGGTACCAGAGGGCTTCAGGCATAATGTCTCTGAAGGACAGTGGATTGGGGGACACTCTGGGAGAGTGGGTAGGTCTGATACAGGAAAAGAGGAAAGGAGGGGGTCTAAAGGAAAAGTTTCAGCTGAGTTGGCTGCAGAGAATGCCACACTATTTAGGCATGTGCAGACCTGTGTCATTGTACTTCTTATTGTCCAATGCTGGTTGGGAAGCACCTGGTGTCTACTTACAAGCTGAGGAAGAGCCTGTGTGCACCTTCAGGAGGCTAGAAGCTGCCACCTGTGGCAGGTTCTCTCCAAGGGACCAGTGAGTTGTATCTCAGAGGTCATAGCCTTGATTGCTTGAAAGTGTGTACTTGTTCTTGTGTGTGTATGTCCCTATGCACATAGGTGAAGGCCAGAGAATCTCAGGTATCAGTCTTCAGGTGCCTTCGGTATTTGAGGTTTTACCTGGAGCTCACACAGTTGGCTAGGTTAGCCAGACAACAAAGTCCAGAGGTCTACCTGTCTCTACCTCCACAGAGCTCTGATCACCAGTGTGTGCCACTATATTGAGATATTATATCATGGGTTCTGAGAGTTCAACTCAAGCCACCATTGCTTGAGAAGCAAACATTTGTCAACTGAGCCAAACCCACACAGCCTTGATATTTCACAAAGGACTTTGAGTCTAGCAACCTGGATAGTCATTCTCTGCATGAGCCCCAGCACTTGTGGGCTTTGTAAGCTTTCACAGGATACTTGACATCTCTGAGCTTCAGGTTCCTGGAATGCCCATGTTGCTTTCCTATGTCTTGGCTTCTTGTAGAGAACACTGATGGTGTCTCTGTATCTCCAGACACGACAAGCAATAAAGTGGTAGTGAGGTGTCCCCACACTTTACAGGAAACACACAGATACTTTGTGACCCTGACTCTTCTCCACATGGAAGCAGGACTACAAGATCCCTGACTATGGCACAGATTATCCCATAGAGGAGCACGGGGCCAGAGGCCACTTGAGGGCTTATTGCGGGGTCAGTGTTGACCATGATGGAGTATGGAGCTAAGGAGGCCATGGCCATCAAGAAGGTAGGAGAGATAATTATGGAGGTAGTGTATTTGGCAAGGCCAGGAAGGGGCCAATAGAAATGACATAGGTGGTAGGGATGGTGGTACAGATGACAGAGGGGAGCAGCGGTAGATGGTGAGAGCAGTGGCAGAGGGGATAGGGTGGGGATGGTGGAAGGGGTGAGGGAGATGGTGATGGTAATGATGGCTGTGGAGGAGAAGCAGATGATGGGGATGGAGAGGGTGAAGGTGGGAGAAGGGGAAGTGGTCATGGAAATTGCAGCCATGGTGACAGAGATGGCTGTGATGACAATGGCTGTCGTGGATGAGGAGATGATGGTGATGATGGTGGAAGGGAAGGAATGGTGGTGAGCTTGACTCTGACACCCATTAACATTCTGTCTCCTAACTCCCACACCTGCCGTTGTGCACTATCATAGAGCATTCTGTCTTTCCATGGACTGCCAGTCTAGTCTGTTCTGCCCACTTGTCCTGTGCCTCTTCAGTTATAAGCCAGGAGCATACTCCATGTGCCTTGGGGAGAAATCCAAGAAGCAGAAACAGCAGTGCATATCCCTAAGCAGTGGCTAAGGTGACTCAGGCTGAGATGCGGCAAGGTTTTGCCATGGCCCCTGGGCAGACATGCAACAACCACAGGAACATACCCAGCCACGCCTGCAGACCTGGGGAGCATGTCTCCTGACCTCTCAGAAGGAAGCAGCCACTCTGTTGAATGCTAAGTTCCTGGTCCTCTTCTCTTTTACAAACCCACAGCTGGCCTCCTTTGGGTCTCTAGACCAGGTTCTGCAACTACACAGCTTCCCTGCAGGGCCTTGGTGAATGCCATCTATGAATCAGTGTAGGGGATGACAGGACCACAGAGAGAAAGCATCCGAGTGCCCCCACCCTCTTCTCACTGGGGAATTATTTGGGTTTTTCGTCATCTTTGATCTCCAAGTTACAGCAGAAGGTAAAAGGTCTCTCATTCAACAGGTAGATGAGTTCAAGAACACTCTGAGCCCCGAGAGCTACAGCATGAACGTGTGGTGGCCAGGTGGTCTCCTCTTGAGTATCCCTCTGCACCTCTTGTTTCCCCAGCTACAAAGCTCCTCCTCCCCAGGTCTCCTAAGAGTCTATGGATCAAGATCCAGGTCTCATTTTATAGCATAAGTATGACTTTAGGCACTACAACAATGTGCTATCCTGCTAGTAACCAGATACTTAGAGTAAGAGGGGATCACCCAATGAGTATTAAATAACCAATCCCTAGACAAGAAAGAGAGCCAGTTCAAATCACCACCTCATCATCATTACCACCACCACCACAACCACCATTTTGGATCTCACAGTATGGAATTGCTATTTGTGGTAGATTTGGTCCTATGGGAATCACTCAGCATCTTAGAACCAACCAAATTGTCTCAGTGGTGAGATGTTAAGGCTGAGGCTGGGGGTGGGGAAATGAAGACATGATGAGCTTCAGAAACCTAGACTGGGTCGGGAGCTCACAAATGCCTCAGCTGGTAAAGGTGCTTGCCACCAGCCTGCTGACTTGAACTGGAGTTTAAGCCCTGGACCCACGTGGGTGGAAGGAGATAAGCAACTCTCAGTTGTTCTCTGACCGCAGAGAGAGGATTAAAGAGTTTGAAATCTTAGAATAGGCTGGCTGCCATGTAAATCCCTGATTTAGCATATCAGCAACTTGTGAAGATAGAGAATGGCCAGTGCTCTATGGGCTCCCCAGTCCAGTGTCAGACACCTCCCTCAAGACATCCTAAGATGGGGTATTTAATTCAGGCCTTTTACAGAGAGAATAGGGTTGACTGGGTGAAGCTCAAGGTGACAGGGTAATATGTATGGTTAATCAACAACTATTGTCACCCTGCAGGTAGTCCCAGGTAGAATATTCATTCAGCCCTCCCAATGCTAAGGACTGTAAGCATCATTTCACCTTTTCCAATAGAAAAGGTCTAGTTAATGTGACTATAATCTTATATTAGCACATGGAGGGCCTGGGACCTGAACCCTCAAAGCCTAGTTCGGAAGCCAGCCTTGATGCCACAAACCCATCACTTGAGGGATATCACACAGGCAGGTTCCTCTCAGTGTGTACTGACTTGGCTTCCACAAAATCCCCAGAATCAGGGGTTCTCAAGCATCTACACAAGGGCGGTAGGTACTCAGAGTCTAAGGGGAGTGTGACAGAACCCAAAGAAATTAAACGGCTCCCAAGGCACTCTGAGCCAGTGGCTCCCAGGTTTGTTGTCTCAGGGTCTCAGAGGAGTGAGGACAGCAGAAGGCAAGGAAGCTTAATTGAGGTAGGGAGCCAACTCCCTAAAAGGGAGGGGGCTGGAGGGACCTCCTCTGTGGTCATTTTTAGGCATGGTTCTAGAGCCTGTGTGTGTAACTGGGGATCGAATTGGATGGATGTGGGGGACTCTAGCTGGGTGAGAGATGAGGTAGGAGAGTGCAGACTCAGGAGAGGAGGAAAACTGCCAAAAGTTTCAAAAGGGAGGAAGAATCAGGAAGTGAGAAGAGCAAGAGACGGTGGTCAGCGATGATCCAGACAAAGTGGGGACCTTTTATAATCCATAGCTTGTGAGTTCAGCTGACAGAGTTGTCAAACAGAAGCTGCCCTGTGAGTGCACACCTTTGCTCAGGCACAAGGGGGGGCTTCCGAGCTGATTCGCAGTTTTTGAGGTGTACTCTCTGTCTACCAAGGCTATCAGGAAACTGGTTTACCAATAAACTTCAGGTTTCTACCTGCATGGCACTTACAGAGAAGCTAATTGCCCATCTGTACTAGTTTTTCCCACTATTCAGAGGCTTCTTATCTAACTTTTAAAAAGACAAAATAAATAGCCAGGAGGTAGTGGTTCACTAATTTAATCCTAGCATTCAGGAGGCAAAGGCAGGTGGATCTCTCTGAGTTTGAGGCCAGCCTGGTCTATAAAGTGAGTTCCAGGACAGCCAGGGCTACATATAGAAACCCTGTCTCAAAAACAAAACGAAACAAACAAACAAACAAAAAACCCCAAACAAACAAACAAAAAACCTAAAAAAAAAAAAAAAAAAAAGATAAAATAGATTTTAAAAGCTGAAAGAAAAGCAGAAATGCCCTTATCGCTATACAAATCATTCTGAACTCATTTTCGTTCACCAAGCACCCTGGCCTGCACATGAATGAGGAAATATTCCTAAGAAGGAATAAGCTGTAGTGACAGCAGAGGTTCCTTCATCCTGGGTCTCACTTCATGTTTTGGATGCTGCAAGGCTGGGTGAGAAGAGACTGCAGGCAGCTGGCCTTCCTTGAAGCACTGCCATGAACCACTTCCAGGCCATTCTGGCTCAGGTACAGACACTGCTCTCCGGCCAGCAACCCAGGCAGGTTCAGGCCCTCCTAGATGGCCTGCTGGAAGAAGAGCTGCTCTCCCCCGAATACCACTGTGCCCTGCTCCGTGAGCCTGATGTTGAGGCTCTGGCCCGCAAGATTTCTTTGACCCTGCTGGAGAAAGAGGACTTAGGCTTGGCTTGCTCAAGCTGGGTCCGCAGCAAGCTACAGGCCTTGGCAGTAGAGAGGGCCACCAGCTACAGGGATCATGGAGGTAAGCTGGCATCCTTTTGAGTCAAGGGAAATAATATGTGGTCAGCCCTAAGGTATCCTTCCATCTCTGAAAGGGAGATGCATGTGCAGGATGCGGGGCAAGCTCCTGGAAAACCTGGGTGGCTGGGTGCTGAGGGCATGTAGCATGCTTCCTACATTGAGCAGAGCATCCTCAGAGTATACTGCTAACCACCTGCTTGGCCCATGCCTAAGCCTCATCAACACTGGGCTCCAAGGTCCATGGTGGACAGAGGGACTCCTGCTTTCAGAAAACACACCATCTAGTAGGAAGACAGAAAGAGATACAATTAGTCACTTCAGGTCAAAAATAGAGAAACTGTGTCTGGGAATGTAACTCAGTTGGTAGAGTGCTGGCCCAGCATACACCAAACACTTCTTAAATGGGAAGTAATAGTACACATTTGTAATTTCAGCACTTGGAAGACAGAATCGGGAGAATTAGAGATTCAAGCTCATCCTTGGCTGTATGGTGTGAGCAGCCTGGGCTTCATGAGACCCTGTCAAAAAAAAAAAAAAAAAAAAAAAAAAAAAAAAAAACAGATAAAAAGGAGAGTCCTGGAAATGGGGGGCTAAGAAGTTGGAGATAAGAGGGCAGTGGTGTGTGTGTGTGTGTGTGTGTGTGTGTGTATGTGTGTGTGTATGTGTGTGGGGGGGGAGGCTGACTGACTGATAACTGACTGACAAAGGGATAGAGATACAGAAAGTCAGAGATACCCTGATGGACCAAGAGGGGAAAGGAAAGAGAACTGGAAGGAAAAGGAATAAAAAGCTGGTAGGAAACAGAGATATAGAGAAACAGAAGCCAGCCCATGAGGACAGAGGAGTATCATTTATCTTTGTGAGGGAAGTCAAAGGACAACTTGTGGGAGTAGGTGCTCTCCTTCCATGTGGGTCCCAGGGATTGAATTCAGTTCATGAGCACCTCTACCCCCTAGACCAGCTCACCTGTCCAGGGTCTTGGTGTCTTGGATTTAAGGGTACTGCTAACAGCCAAACGTGGTCTTTTGTTCATTTTCTTTGGTACTGAGGATGGAATCCAGGGCTTTGTGTGTGGCAGGCAGCAGATGCTCTGTCACTGAGTTCCACCCCGGCCCGCTTCTGCCTCTTAAGTTCAGAGAGAAACAAGTACCATTGTCTCTGCTCCCATCCTTCATTCCTCCAGCATGCCTGGCTTCCTCCTCAGGAACAGATGCTCACTGAGACAGAGCTTGTCCTGTCCTGCATGTGTGCTGTTACAGTATCACCATCAGGGTCACAGATTCCAGCCTTTTTGGTCCCATCATGTATCCAACTCACCCTGTACTTGGTACTGATGGAGTCCTTACAATGTGCAGGGCACAGGTAACAACCGCACCCTCTTTCTAGGCATCCCGCCCATCCCAGCCCTTTGAATTCATATATCCCTCATCAAATGCACAAAGCAGAAGCTAGCTAGATGCCTCAGGGTAGGAAGTGGCAGAGGCCAGTCTAAAAGACAGACAAGCTGTGATCCTGAATCTGAGCAGAGTAGGGGGGGGTCAATGTTTTTTTGGTGACCATGAAGCACTAGACAATGCCGGACTCTTCCATGTTTCTACTAAGACATATGCATTCTATCACTGGGGTTGGCTGTGCTTGTGTATAAATTCCCAGGTTGGTGGTATCTTTCCTGTCCTGAATAGGCTCTCATTCTCTCCTTCCTAACATGGAGACCGTGGGGGAACATTTACTCCCTATCAGATCTCTGGATTTCCAACAGAGTGAGGTGGCCAGTATTGTCCTACTGGGGCAGCCTTCCACCTGGGGAAGAAGTGAGAGCCTTCCTCTTTCTTCAGACTGCCACCAAGGGCAGCTCCCTCCCTCCACGTTGCCCTCAGCTACTGCTATCCCTCTTTCTGAGTATTCTGAGTATACTGGTTCCTGTTTTTTTTTTTTTTAAACTAATTTCCTTCCTGGGGGTGTAGTATTTTGTTTTGGATGTCACGTGATTTCAGAAAATGGAAGTGGACTCTGGGTGTGAACATCAGGGACTAGGAGACAGAAGGGTATGGTCCTTACTCCCTCTTCCTGTCCTCCAGGCCAGCTCTGTTCCAGACTGGGGCTACACACACACACACACACACACACACACACACACACACACACACACACAGCAGGCAGAGATGGAGAATGTGGAAGAGGAGACCCCCCCTCTCCCAGACCCCCATCCTCCCACCCCCACCCCCAACCAGGGGAGGAAAGCATGAGATTTGGAAATGAAGAACACTGGCTGAATTCAACAGAATGTTGCAAAAGGGAAGCCATTGGTATTGGGTTTTGTGCTCACTTGGGAATGATCTAGGCCCTCCACTGCTTTGACACTGCACTAGCTCCCCATGTCACTCAAAAAAATCCCCATGTCACAGGCCTGCCACATTCTGGCCCTCATTCCCTGCTGTTGTCAACTGCAGCCCCTCCCATGTCCCCAGTGTCCCCCAGACACACCTGCTTACCACCTGCCTCAGGACCTGTGCGTGTTCTGTCCTCTGCCTGGAGTATTCCTCTCCAGGTATTCTCTTGGTCAACCTCTTGAAATGTCCTTTAAAACTTGCTTCAAATATCACTTAACATCAAAGCCTACCCTGAACATCCCATGCCATACAAATCCCTCCCTGCTGTAACCCTGTGCTGAGGGGACAGAGACAGGAGGATCTGTGGTGCTTTCTGGCTGAGTTCAGTGAGAGACTGTGTCAGGGGAATGAGGTGGACAGTGATAGAGCAGGACACCCAGTTTCCTCTCTGTGCCTGCACATACACACACACACACCTTGCCCAGACTTTAAAAAACATCCATATAATTTAATTTTGTGTTTTGTGTGTTTGTAAAGAAGCTCCACACAGCACAAGCTAATGTTTTAATCATGTTATGTCTCAAATGCCCAATATGGTATCATTCTAAGGACACAATAGGCATGCAATATATATTTGTTGAATGTTGGATGGTTTCATATATGGACTGATGAATGGATGGTGGATGGGTGGATGGGTAATGGATGTGTATGTGGGTAGATGAATATGTGGCAGTGAGTGGGTATATAAGGAGTGGGGGATGAATGAATGGATAGGTAAGGGAGTGGGTGAACATATGGATGGATGGATGGATGGATTGAAAGGTAGTTGAATGAGTGAGTAGGTTGATAGATGGATATATGGTTGTGGAGTAGGTTTATGGATGGATGGGTGGGTGGGTGGGTAGGTAAATAGGTGGGGTGGAAGATAGGTTGATGGGTAGGTAGATGGATAGATATGTGAGTAGATGGGTGGACGGGTAGGTGGATAGACAGATGAAAGCATAGATGTACAGATTGATGTGGGTAGACATATGAATGGATGATGGATGGATGGAAGGATGGATAAATGAATTATTGTGTGAATGGGTGGGTAGGTAGACTGATGGTGACCATATATGGGTCATGCACTACCACTATTCTCTCTTTACAAATGAATAAGTTGAGGCCCAGAAAAGTTAAACAACCATGTGCTTAGGATCTAGGGAGGGCTTCGTTTCATCTAAAGAATGTGGACACCTTCCATCCATTTCTGCTTGGCTCCCTTTTCTGAACAGCCCAAGGATACAGGAAATCTACCAGGACAGGTGAGCATTCTCTGAGCGGATAAGAGGTGCTGCCCTGCCTTCACTACAATCATACAACAACCATACAAGAAAACCCTGTCTGGAAGAAGACCCTGGGAGGCTGGCTCTGATCTACATAGAACAGTGTGTGTGCACACAGCTCCAGTAGGGCTCCAGTAAGTCTGGGGCTCATAGTTTCATCCCAAGGGAACTCAGTAGACTCAGTGAGAAAGCAGACATTCAGACAGAAGTTAGCCAGCCACAGTCCATAGCCCCTGAGAGAATAGGCACAAGCCAGGAAAGGACAAAATAGGAAGGAAGGGTCCTGATGAAGAAAGAATTAGCTGTAAAATGGAGGCTACACAAGTCTCAGAGTCACTGTTCTGTGGATTTGGGGACAGCATCCAATGTGAGACATGAACATTCCCAGTCCCAGTCAGCTATTTCTGACTCCAAGGCATCAAGGCTGGTGTCTGGTGTGAACAGGAGAGGGCAGCCCCAGGTTTGTCCATGAGCTAGAAAGTATTTTGTTCTCTTTTCTCTGGTTTCAGGACATCCCTTCCAGGCTCCTGACTCGGGCTACTTTTGATTGCACTATTCTCTGTTCTGAGTACGATATTACTACACACTGTCTTGATGCCTCTGGGATTTCCCCATGTGGATTCCATCCTCAGAAACACAGCATAAAGACTCCCTCCAGGATGCTGTGTGATTTATTGGAAAGGGACATTCCCTCCAGCTTCCTTCCCCATTTGAAAGCTAGGATGCGGGACTGCCCATATTGGCTTCCTCCGTCCTCCCTCTTCGCTGTGTCTCCCCAGATCTTGCCCTGCTTCCAGCAGCACACCTATTTCCTTCCTGGAAGGGGGTAGGTTTCATGGAACACTCAGTTTTTCCCCTGGCATGCCTCCCAGCACTTAGCCTGTGGTTCTTTCACTCCCAGGAGCCACAAAAGGAGAAGTCCTGTTGTCACTTCCCAGATTATTTTCCCTGCTCTGTGTCCTCTTGCCTCAGAACTTGGCACCTGACCCAGCCAGGGACTATTTCTGATTCTGTTGCTATTGCCTGGACTGGCTCATCTGGATCCTTTGTCCAGTCACCTCCTGGTCACTTTGTGTCTTCTTCCAGCATGCTTTCTTCATACCCTAACCTTCTCCAATCTACTTTTCAGTGAGTCCATTTATAATTCATATTGACTTACCAAATTCACTAGTTTTTCTGTTTGCCTATTCACTCACCTGTGTATATTTTTATAGCAACTTAGCTGCCTACCTTCCTACCTGTGGGTGAACCCATTTACATTCCCATCTACCTGGATGCTGCATTCTCACATAACTTCCTGCATTCTTAATTAGTAACATGCCACCTTTATCCTATCTGTTCCCTTA